GCATGGAGCTTGCAATGAAGACTCACTCCCTGTGATGGAGACCATTTTAAACAGGACTGGAGAAACTCAGATAAGCTAGAACTGAAAATGCTTATATGAGAAAAAGGTACAATTCATCCCTCTTCTGAAGCTAACAATACAATGGACTCAGTTAGACTTCCAGGCCGTGTTCCCATCACCAATAATTGTGCTTAAAAAAGCAGCTTCTGCTGCTCCTCCTGTATGTACTGGGTAACCTCCAGGGATCTCGGCCTCAGTCTCCTGTGTGCCCCTAAAAGAGCCCCTGAGCAGGTGAGTTTCCCTGGAAAAAAAGGCTGCAGAATCTGCCTTTTCTGATATATTTTGGAGGAGCAATGGAGGAGGTGATGCCCTAGCCATTCTCTGGGTAGCCCTGAAATACCAAAATTGTCCATGTGGACAGCTGGGCCAGCAAGCTCTGTATGGCCATGAGGAAAAGGAAGACTCAGTCTGCTTCAAGTAAGATTTTCAGAGACAAAATAATCGCAAGGCTTAGGACTTTGAACTTCTTGCAGCAAATGTCACAGAAAAACGCAAGCACACGATAGTCATTGGAAAAATTCACACTCAGCTGCAAAGGGTTCGTCAAAAGGCGCTGAAGCAATTGCTCCCTGATTTGTTGCTCTGTGTTTTCATTTAGTTTTCCCAACAACAGCAGCACAGAATATCAGAGCCACTGGCCCATGAAGAAATACAAAATCGTAAGAAAGAGAAGCAGAATACATTCTCCCCAGCTAGTGGAGCGGCTGATCTGAGAAACCTGTGCTGGGGAAGGCAGATGAAGGGCAGCACAAGAATGGATAGGGTCGAATCAGAGATGGCAGAGAGCCACCCCATCCCTGCCTCGTTGTAGCCCACAGAAAATGCTCTCTTCCAAAGCACACCTGCTTTTGGCCACAGATGCCATTCATACAGAAGAAGGAGCAGGCCCAGGCATCCCCCCCCTCTCCCCCCCCCCTCGCCTAGTACAGAGCCAGCGGATTGGGGGTTTCCCTGGGCGAAAAGTGTCAATCTGCCTTTGCTAAATAAAATCTTCCTTCAGGAACCAGAGGCAGCAAAGGCTGAGGGATGTGACCAAGCTCATGCAGGAAGGCTGTGTCAGAGCGAGAAGCTGAAAAAACTGTCCCTAAGTGGTGTGTTCCCCATCCGACCTGCAGCCCCCTCTTGCACCAAGGCTGTTCCTTGCCTCAGCGGTGAGTTACGCTGCAGAAAGTTTGCTCAACCTAATGCTTCGTTTCACTTCTCATCAACCCCACTTCTGTTGCTTTAAGGCTGCTGCCCAAAGCACTAAAGAGTGAAAAATATCAGCCTTTTTTCCCTCTGTATTACTGTTCCAAAGCCGACTGACTCGGCATCACTGCGGCACGGCTGGAAATTACGCACGGCTGGCAGCCCCACCGGGGGGAGCAGGGCACCCCCAGCATCCTCACCGCCCCCCTGCCTTTCGCAGCCCCTTCCTCATCACCTGAATCCCCCAACCCTCGGCTCGGCAGCTCCAGCTGCCGGCTTCCACCCGGGGAACAGCGCGGAGCCCGGTCGAGGGTCGCCACCTCGTGGCACCGCGGGGAGCGCCGCGGCCCCCACGCTGCCGGGGCTGGGGGTCCGCAGCGTTCCGGGGCTTGGGATGTCCGTGCTGTCCCTGGCAGGGGAAACTGGGGGGCCCTGAGCTCGTGCAGAGTCAGTCCCGCCCCCAAATGGAGAGGCAGAGGCGTAAAATGGTTTTCTTTCCATCAGTGGGTCCCAAAGCATTTGAGATGGCCAAGGGGGCCGGGTTACTCCGTGTTTTGTCCAAGGAGAAACTGAGGCAGTGAGGGGGGGGTGTTGCTCAGACAGAGGGACAGGGATGGACCTGGGCTGCTTCCAGCTCACATCCTACAGCCAGGACCCCTCATCCCCCTCAGTGCTGGGCTGCTTACCCTGCAAGTCACCCACGAGGAGACCTACATGTCCCAGACCCCATGAAACAGGGACCGACATGCTCAGCCCGGTGAGCAAGTTGCCATGGCGATCTTTGGGTGATGCAGCACAGATAGAGAGGGGCAGCGAAAAGGAGTGTAATTAATTTAAGTCATTAAGAACAATTAGCGTTTATTAAACCAAGTTTATTGAAAGAAGGAAACAAAGCAAACAAATCAGATTTTTAACCCATAAAACAAGGAAGTCTGCTCTTTCTAATGCAAATAATGCTCCGTGGAGAAGAGAGTGCACAGGAAGGATTAACTGCATTACCAACCATATACAAACAGCAAATCTCATTCCTTATTGTTCATCTGAAATGAAAACTATGGCCAGTTAATCCATTTCATCCAGAGCAAGTGTTTCCGAAGATTAAGAAGCTGAGAGGAGTAAGTTAGTTGCAGATAAATGCCTTGGTTCGTGGCCATAGGCAAAGATCGCCGTGGCTCGGATTGATAAAGCATTACCAAGGAGCAGGAAATCCATCCACCCGTCTATCAGTCATCAGTGGCTATTAAACGTGATGGTGTAGAGGTGCCCTCCAGCACAGGAAGTCCTTAAGATGCTAACAGTCTGATGGCAGCACTAAGGATACTCCATGCTTTACCATTCGTCTCTTGCTACTGCCAAGACCGGGGTACCTGACCTACTACAGGATCTACACTTTGTCTCTCCATTCCCTGGCCTTTACACCGGGTTTAACAGCATCATTTCTTTCCCTAAGCTGTGCTAATGAAGCGTGTGTCATGATCACTTTTCCAGGGTCACCTCAAAGCGATTAACAGCTCTGGGCAGCTCCTGCTGACATGTGCCATCGATCTGGAGGTCCCACGGTCAGACCTGCTCAGTGAGGCTCATTGCGTGTCCATCAAACCTCGCACAGCACCTAGCCCAAAAGCAGAGCAGGGTGGCTTTATCACACTACATGAATGTGGTTGATGCAAAACCAGCAGACAGACATTTTGCAGGGAAAGGTTCTGCTTGGTGCTGCCATCACAGATGTGTCCAGCAGAACAGCAGCTCTTCTCCAAGCACGTTTCAGCAGAGGTGTTTTTGCAGCTGTAACCAACAAGCAAAGGGCCTTGACTGCATGTTGGGCAGCAAACCACCCCTGAAATGCTTGTAAAAAGATTTTGTCCTGTTTATTCCCCAAATACTCTTCTTGGGGCTCCTCTGAGCTTCACAGAAGTCAGTGACAAGCATGAGGGCATTTCCCCACTCCCCTGGTGTTGGAAAAGCAGGAACCCAAGCATCCAAACCCACCATGGGATGGGGTAAACTGGAATTTAATTAGGTCACTCCCCAGATACATTAAACACAGATGTCCAGATTCAGGAGATTGCAGATTTATTGGGCATTGATTAAATGAAAAATCAAATAAGAGGAGAGTCACAGCCGACTGCCACAGTCATGTGCCAGCCCTCCCGGAGGGGATCCAAGGCAGGTTATAATTAATATTACACAGTCCTGACAGGCAAGATAAAAGTTCTGGCCAGGCCAGGACATAATTTATCATCTATTTATTCTCCAGCATAATTTATTAACATGAATAAACATTCTGCAGGCAGATTTGTAGTTAATATGTTATGGTTTCTCAGCAAAGGGTGTCAGGAGCACACAACACACGCTGCTGTTCAGAGGCCCTCCATCTCAGAAGAGCAGAAAGCTCCACAAATAAATACAGCCTCCAGCTGCATATCCAAATATGAAAAGAGCTTTGTAAATGGCACTGCCAAGCCATCCTCCTGGGCAGGGCCACCAGCTCCTGCCACTGACCCTTTAGCTAGGAACCACACCAGCACCAAGCATGTCCCTGCAGCAGCAAACCTGGGCTGCACTGCTGAAATAAAAGCTGTAGCAAACTTCTGAATTCATGTCCTTGGATTAATGCCTGCCTCTAACACTGTTAGTGGCAGGAAATTCTGGCTCCAATTAAATCGATGGCAAAAGTCCCGCTGACTCCAACAAGCCAGAATTTCAGCCTGGTTCCCATCACCTCATGCTGCAGCGCACAGAGCCCTGGCCAAGATCAGTGCTGATAATTTCAGTGCAGCTTTAGTGGAGCACTATCCATAGCAAATATGGGCTTTAGAGGCTGGCTTTTTGGATAGCTGGTGTAAATGATGACAGATACCTGGGCAGAGCTGTACAGGAAGAAAGCAGCAATTTCCAGCCAGCTTTCAGGTCCCAGCCTTCAGCTGTGCCATCCATTTGAGACAGACTATTTTTTCTGAGGTGTTTGACCAGCCCATAGCATAACAGAGGCATGTGGTATTCCCAGCCACACGTCAACTGTCAGGTGCTTTTAAAAAATGAGTGGTTACAGCAGTGCACGTCCTGGGGGAGCACAGCTGCACACCACTGCTTGATCAGTGTTTTCTCCTGGAGGAACATAAGTGTAGCTTCCCAGAGTGGAAGGAGATTTTTCCACTTAAACCAGGGCAAACTCCTTCTCCCCACTCCAAAGACATTACCAAACATGGAGATGGCTGTGGAGGAAGCTGCAAGGAGATTAAATTAGCAGAAAGCACAAAGAAATGAGGACTGGCAGTGCCTGTGCTTGCAATGGCCCCAAAGTCCATCTCCATCAAACAATATTTCAGTAGCAGCATCCTCTGTAAAGTAGGGCTGTGCTAATAGAGTTAATAGAGATCAAACACCTTGAGACCAGCAGAAGGCCAAGGAGCTCTGCTACTGAATGATCAGAATCATACAAGAGCACCATAATCACAGGGCACTACAGGCTGCAGTTGGCAGCTGCTGTCTAGTCCACAAGAAGCAGACTGAAAAATCCTATAGCTCGTTTTCCAGAAAAATAAATAAATAAATAAATAAATAAATAAAAGTAGGGAGTGGTTTTTAGAGGGTCAAAATGTCCACTGGGAAGTAGGAAAAAAATTACTGGAGATTTGGGCATCATGTCTCCCATTTCCTTACAGCAGAAAGATAAGTCACAAAACTCACATTCTTCTGTCAAGATGCATACATTTAGACTGGTGGAAAAAAAAATAAAAAATTAGTGTCTGCTTTTTTTTTTTTTCCTTTCTTTTTTTTTTTTTTTTTTCCTTTAAACAGCCCCTTACCCTCACTGTCACCTCTTTAAATAACCCCTCCTTTGCAAGCCTCAGCCCAGGCTTGGATTTCAGGCAGCTCCTACCCAGGGCTTATCGGGCGGCTTGTTCCTGCTGTCATTGACAAGGCAGCTCCTAATCCTATTAATCAGGCTGTGTATTTGTTACTGCATCTGTGGAAAGGTAACACCCACTACATGCAGAATACTGATTCTGAGCAGTTTCTCATCTCCAAGCTGAACTGATGGCTCGAAGTTAAGCTTGTCTGTTGAGTGTAATGAATCCGAAGTTCAGAGTGCCAGGACTGCCCCAGCAACAGATAGCCTGACTGTTTAGCTTCTGAAGCTTCTGGATCAGTTATTAAACCTGGAGCTTGAAATTTAATGTTTTGTGCAAGAGACTAGCAGGGAGAATAGAGAATATACGACTGCGCCCATCCCTCAGTGGCCATGCACTCAAGCAAGGAGGTGACAATTTAATTGCATCAAGCTACACAGGGCTGGATGCCTCATCCAGGTCACAGCCAGGAGCAGCCCCAAAACCACCTGTTTTCTCCAAGAAGAGCCCATCTCCTGTAGCTTAGGGTCTGTCTTGGAAGCCTGCATCAGGCTGGGGCTGGCAGCCCGGGTCTTCTCCCCAGGAATGAGCAGCACTGAGCAGCCAGGCTGTTACCACCCCGCTCTGCAGACACTTAACGGTGTCAGGAGCTGTGCTGTGTAATTCTGTCAGACAACAGCTTGAACTGAGGGGAAGGAGCATCAGCACTGCCAGGAACAGGCTGCTGCTGTGAGGGTGCCCCCATATGACAAAGCACCAGCTGGGCCAGGCACTTGCAGAGCTGAAAGGAAAATAAAACTGAGCTGAGCAGCATGGGAAGGACCCAACCAATCTCGTCCATCCATCACACATCAGACAATAATTAGTTTCTCCCCCATCTTTGAGCGTGCTGGGGAACAAAACCCCTCCATGATGCCTAAAGGACAAGAAACATCCCTTGGGCTGGAAGATCCTGAGGCAAAGTCCCATGGAATCCCACTGCATCTGCCCATACATCAGTCATGCCTCTCCCGCCTGTCCCCGTGGCTTCCCAGCTGAGCTCGTGGGCATCCCAAGGCGTTTTGTTCAGCACGAGCTGACCCCGAGCTGCAAGAGACTTTGCTGCTCCATTATGAAAGCATGCAGATGGAGAAGAGAATCACAAGAGAACTTCTTACCATGCTCCATTAAGGAAAGTCATTTCCCCTCCATTATTAAAAAATTGCCTGCTACCCGAGTCTGTGCAGCTCCAGCTGCATCTTGCACAGAGAGGGCTCAGAAGGTGAGTTCAAGTGTGACACTCACCCATCAATCACTTCTGAAGCTTTTCTGAACCAAAGGCACAAGGGAGCCTGCACTGAGCCATCCTCTTTCTGTGGGATCCTCTCCATATCCTCTCCCCATTGCTGCACCAAACTAGCCTGGCTTCCTGAGAAGTGGATATGAAGCAGCTCTGAACACACGTGCCTGGTGGCCTAGCATCTAATCCACCCCAGCAGGGACAGGACCAGACCCACATCTCAGCACCCACCCCATCAGCTCCAGGCAAAAGCCCCCAGCCTCCTGGGGGCAGGAGGACATCACCTCATACAAGTCCTGGGTTTTATCACAGCTGGACATTTATTGGCTTTGCATTTCTCCTGTTGTTTATCCAGTTCATTAAACATTTTCCTGAAAATACAATTATCTCTAGCAAAACTTCAATTGCTTTAAGAGGAAAAAAAAAAAAAAAAAAAAAAAAAAAAAAAAAAAAACACTTGCTGGGGAAGAAACTCCCCTGTGTTTTTCTTCCTCTCCTTTTGTTTACGTGATCTCACTAAGCACAGATCTATATCCATGCCCCTGGAGTTTTGTGATGTCAGAAATCTGGGTCAGTCACTTGCAGGTTTTCTGGTGATGCATAAAGTCTTCAGAACAGGGATCCATGTTTGCACTGAGCCTTTCCTCCAGTTTTCCTTTGATCACATCTATTGTTTTCTCTTCAGCATTGTCAGCAAGATCTGCATCCTCCACCACCCACCCCAGGCTCTGTTTTTTTGCTCACCAAGGCTTAATTCCTCCATTAACTGCAAGGAGATCAAAAAGATATCAAGTGGCCAAATCCATGATTTTGTTGGCTCTGCCCACTGGCCCAACAGTCCCAGGAGAACTTTGCACCAAAAGCTTCCTCAGGAAAGTAACTTTCTATTAAAAAAACAAGGTTCACATAGGTCATCAGAAACTTCAGCTATTTCAACTCATTTGTCCTCCTAACATTCTGCAATTAGCCATTTGTCCTCTTTATATTCTGTAATTACATAAAAAAACTATTGACATTGTAATACTTAACCTATATTAAAATGACATCTTCTTCCCCCTGCTCATTACTCCAGCCTGAAATAATAATCAGTGTGCTAAAATGGGAAAAACCATGTGTGATGAGCAAAGCTCTGAAGGGAGCTAATTAACAGTTTTCAGAAGTGCAGAAATATCACTCAAAATTATGACGCCAGCAGAGGTAAACAAAAAAAATATCCTTGTAACCTTTGAGCACAGACCATTAACAAGGACAGGAGAGAGCTGCTCCCATTTCTGCCCAAAGGTCTTGGGATGACCTCATCCGTGGTATCTAACTTTTGATATCCTTGTTTATCCTGATTATTTTAGACACCTATCCCTGGTGAGCAAGCCAAACCTAGTCAGTGGGGAAATGTGTTTTGTGAAATATGTTTCCATTGGGTGATTTGACTTCACTGAAAATCCACTGATTAAATAAGGAGAACAAAGCAGCTCTGTTTAGGGGAGCAGAGAGGGGTGAGAAGAGCCCATTTTCTCTTTGCGAAACCAAGAGGAAAATATCTCCATTGCAGGCTGCAATTTAGCATGTTCCTTCAGTGCCACCTTCTTTTCCAGGCTGTACCTCCTAGGGCAGCTGGTGGGATATTGCTTCTGGGTGACGACATGAGCCCCTCCAGGGGTGCAGGCTCCTGCTGCGAGGTTCTGCCAGACAAAAAAAAAAAAAAACAAAAAAAAAAAAAACACACGACTATGACAGCTTTTGGACGAAGTGACCCTTCCTTCATTCTCTGTCTTTTTGTCCATGTGCTGGACAGGAAAGGAGATGCTAAACCTGCTTGTGCAGAAGAAAGAAGGAAAAAAAGCCAAGCAGAGCTGGAGATTTAAGAACCACTCCTGATCAGAGTTCTGCCAGAGAGTTTGCAGGAAAATGGCAATTCATTTAATCAGTAGCCTGGGTCAGCTTCATTGATTTTCATCAGACACCTCCAAAGCACTTCTCCCGGTCCCTCAGTCATTTCTAATTCCATCTCTGAAGCTGTGATTGCCACCAAAAAAAAAAAAAAAAAAAAAAAAAAAAAAAAAAGAGCACCAGAAGGGAAAAGAAACTGCTATTAGACTAGCCCGAAATGAATACGAGCACTAAGCAAATCCTGCCTTGTTTCGTCGTTCCCTTAGAAGGTTTAGAAGCTACAAACAGCCAAACAGCCCCTTGATTTTCTAGGCTGCAGGCTCTTGTGACCACAGGCACTAGCCTGGGTCAAGCACAATTTGCAATGCTGTGCTCACAGGTAACAGGGAAGCAGAGTGATTTCACAGAAAGATCAACAAGATAAGGACCAAAGATTAGAGATAACGAGGTAAGCACCATCTTTAAGGGGTTAAATTAAATGACAATTCTAGTATTGAGCAGAAGAAATGTTCCTCCTGAATGCATGAAAAGGAGGAAACTCACAGCAAGGAAGTTTTGAGTGGCATTTCACTTTCTCATGTTTTCTGTGTTTTGTTTTGTATTTTTTCCTCTTTTATTGGCCTGTTCCCCTAGCTGAAGATAAATATCATCCACCTGAATATTTGTGTTTGCTCTTGGAAGCATCACCAGTCCCTAGAGTTCAAACATCATGAGTCACAGCAGGAGATTTAAAAAACACATGATGAATTTAAAGGTAATTGCATTTGTTTTTTCTGATCCTGTAAGTTGTGTTTGAAAGTCATTCTCTACAGACATAAGGTCTAGAAACCCTTCCTTTTTAAGAAGTTAAAACCCTGTTTTTCCACCAACAACTTGACTTGGGAAGCAAGAGAGAGACAAATATTGCCAGGCTTAAAAGAACATCACGAGCTGCCTGCAAGCTACCTGCCTGTGCACAGAATACGGAAACAGCTCTGACTTACAGCCCTGGTCTAGACCTACCTTTTCTACACTTCAAAGAGAAGGGGATGCCTCTTCGCAATGACCATTCCTGCCCTGGTAAGCTCATGCACTAAATAGACAGCCTAGCAATACGATGGCACCTCCGGCTGCCCCTGTACCTGGGATTACCCATCCTGACAGGCTCCTCCCTACCCTTTCCTCATTTCTGGTGCTGCACCCAGCTCTGCACACACTTCAAGCAGTGATTGAGGCAGAAAACCTGCATCTCTTTGGACCTGCAGCAATGTAATTGAAAATTCATTCACTTGTGCTCATTTTGCATTTTCTTTCCCTTTTATAGAAGGAGCAAAGTGGTTAGGTGTGCCGTGATGAGGCACAGGAAAACCAGCTGTTACATGACAGGCACGGTAATTAGGAACAAGCAATGCTATGATCATTAAATCAGGCGGATGCAGCCGCTGGAGCACTCACCTGGCAGGCAGGTCTCATGCTGGAGGTGCAAAGTGCTCTAGGTGTTCATCCAGCAGCCTTATCTCCTGGAAATTGAGGCTAAATGCTGCAAGAAAAGAGCTAGCTCCATTATGTGCTGCTGAGGAGAAAAAAATACACTGTTTTAGCCTTTCAGGCCTGAAAACACTCTTGCCTAAAGCAAACCCTTCCTGTTATGTCAAAATCCATCACTTGTGGGTGCAGTTGGGAGAGGAGGGGGACAAGGGAAAGAGACAGACCTCTGCCATTAGCAGGCTGCTTTAGGGAGCAGTTAGGAACAATCTGATCACACTCAGGAACTCTTATTAGATAAGAAAAGCAAAAAAGAGCAAGTTTTAAGCTTTCCCTGTTCTCTGGGAGGAGGGAAGGCTGTTTCCATCCTGCCTCAGCAGAAGGCGGGTTTCTCCGGAATCATGGCCGTCCAGCTGAGAAACCATTTCCTGCTTCCCCGTTTGTGCTTCTGCTCCTGGCAGGCTGGTGCAGCTCAACTCCAGTGGCTGCTGAAAGGTTTTTCATGCCGAGGCAGCAGGGAGAGCCCCCGCTGATGACAATGGAGCATCAGTCTGCAAAAAAAAAAAAAAAAAAAAAAAAAAAAAAAAAGCCAATTAGGGCTGAAGAATCCCTGCCTGGTTGTGGGTCCTCTCTGGGTTTTTGAGCCCAGGTCTTCCTGCTGCCCTGACCTCCTCGAGAGCAGCCACCTCCTGAAGTTACTGTGGAGAAGACCTGGCTGAAGAAGGAATGTGCTCATTTTGTCTTCAGAGCCAAAGGGAAAAAAAAAAAAAAAAAAAAAAAAAAAAAAGTACATTTGGCAGAGGTGCAATGAAAACATTTATCAGCAACTACTTACCTGAACAGGGTGAGTTTGTCTTCATGGCACAGTAACGCCTGGATGCCGACCGTGCCTTGCGTTTGGCAGGATCACAAGGCACACAGTTAGCACAGAGGAAGATTGCTCCCCATGCCATTAAGTCCTTTGTGAGCTGACAAGAAAGAAATCCCTGCCAAGGAGCAGCACAAAAGCTTGTTGAGACAGATGAGGCATGAGGTTTCTAATGAAACGGGTCTTTGCCAACACTCCTGGAGGGTCTCGTTCAGATTCGGACAGCTTCAGACTGTATCTGGGCAGAGAAACAGGGTGCACGGCTCAGTGGGGATCATGGTTATCAATGTGCTCCTTTTTAATGATGCCATTTATTTCCATGACTAACACCTGATGACTTCCAGCAGCTCAAGTGGGCTCTACTGTCCCCCACTCCATCCCGTAGAGTTCTGGGGCAATCCAAAAATGCCTCAGATGGTTGCTGAGGGCTTTGTCACCAGGAGGCAACATTCCAGCTGTTGCTCACCAATGGATCTGAGCTCTCCTCCACCCATCTTTTCCACTTAAATTACAAGGTTTCCAGGTTATAAAGTTCCTCCTTTAATAAACATACACGAATAAATAAATTAAAAAAAGCTGATGCCTTTCCTGAGATGGGAAGCAGCTCAACTAATAACATTAAAGTTAATGATCCTGAACATTATGTGCCACACAGGAACACGAGGTGCAGCCCCACGTACCAAATGGACCTAAGAGAGCATCAGTGTTTTGACATACCCATGCTACAACCCTCCCACTGACTGCCCAGGCTGAGCTGAACCAATCCTGTTTATAGCACTTAGTGGTAGGGGCTGTGTTGTGCCTTTGGGTTAGTTGATGCCTGGTGTCTGGGGAGCTTAACCACCAATTACATGTGCTTCACTGCTGCAGACCTGATAATAACAATAATAATTATCACTTATAAGGTCTTTGCATTTTCAGAGCTCTTTGCAACCATTAATTAATTAACACTGTAGAAACCTTTGTTTAATTTAGAGCATCTTTAGAGGGAGGTCACTCCTTCAGCACACAACTGCCAACAGGAGATGCCTCAACACAGCTTCCTCACTGGGTCCGCACACACATAGACATCCTCCCTCCACCTCCCCATTTTGGCACAGAAAGAGAACAGCAGCAAACAGGCTCAGACCTAGCTGAGAAGAGATACCACGCTGGTTTTTGATGCTCTTCTGTGGGATCCTCTCTCATGCTCTGCACTCAGCGACTGTTAAGGCCCTGTACAGTATGTCAATGCCTTTGCAATTTATGCAGCTGAAGACATCTCCCAGACAATTCCCCTTGAAGCTGTTCCAAGGAAGAGAAGCTAAGCTAGGCTGCTTTCTGCCAGCATGGGTTGACCCTCACCCTCTCTACAATCACAGAAGCATGCTGATTTCAGCCCCTTCCCACATTAGGAAAGAGTGTTGAATCAATAAAGAATAATTACTTTCAAGTAGCGTCCTCCCCCTGCACAGACCCTCCAAGCACAAGCTCTCCCCACACTCTCCTCCTCTGTACTTACCAGAGGGAGGCTACCAAGAGTTGGATGCTTTCAGCATGGCCTCCTGCCTACAGGAAAAGCCCCAGCTTCTCTGGTAGCCCCTGAGAGGACCCTGCTTGGCACCCCACAACCAGAGCAGGATCCTACCTCTGCTTTCAGCCTGCCCATGTGTGCAGACAGGAGGGGAGGAAGGAGCACATGGGATCCGCAGAGCATTTGAAAGGAGGAAGCTTGCCTTGGAAACCTTCTCTAGGATCCAGGTAAATTCAGGGCATCTGTGCCTGCAAAACAGCTTTAGGATGCAAGTCTTCCCACCACTGCAGAGAGCTATGCTGTGTGGCTTTGCAGATAGTCCAGGATAATTACAGGTGTGTAAGTCACCATGGTTTGAGCAGAGAAATGGGTCAGATGAACAAGTTTGACATGACTTGAGAACTAAGACTTTTTTTCTACAAAGGAAAAAAGCACAGAGACCATGCAGAAAGTCCCTACAGAAGGAGGAGTGAGTGGTCTGGAGCTGAGCCCCATCCACATTTCAGCCCAAGTGGCCAAGTGCCAAGCCCACGAGTGGGACCAGCCATGCTTGCACAAATTCCAGAGCCTGGAGCACATCGTCACACATGGGCACACTCCACGCCTCGCTTTCCTCCCAGTCAGGCACTGTGCCAGCTGCTCCTTCCACACACATTCTCCCCTCTCCGTGTCCTGCATGATTTATACAGCGTTTAAATAATAAATTGCATGGACATCACGGAATTTATAGCGCTCAAAGTAGGTCATTAAATAAATCACTGTATAATTTATATAAATGAACCTGGATCTTGCAGTAGGAGGATTTCATTGGAAAATCAATCCACAGAGTTTATAAAATTGAAGGATTGTCAGGGATTTGCAGTATTTAAGTACCATGTGTATTTAGGGTAAAAATATTAGTGATTTATGCCAGGTGCCAGCTGGGTTTCCACTCACTCAGCTGGACATCCCTGCCTGCATATCCTGGCCTCTGAAGGATTCTCCCCTGGGGAAGCCACTGCCCTCAGAGGGAACAAAACCTTCTGAAGGATCCATGAGAAACAAACACTGAAATGGGAAGAAATAGCAGAGAATAAGCAAGTCCAAGAAGAAAGAGCTGGTCTACTTGTTTGCTTGGCAAACAGGAAAGAAAGCCTGTGACAAGGGCAAGGTGAGTTCTTTACTTTCCTCTAGGATATGACAGCAAGTCAGAAAGATTTGCATCCCCAGGAACAAACATGATTCAGTACCTGGGTGCTGAACAGCCAGGCTGTGAGAGGCTTAGCTGAAGTCCTTCATGTTATATTAATTTAATTCGTGGTATATAATTAACTCTGGTCCCTCTTCACCTTTGATAAATTGAGTACTAGTGCCCACATGTGCTCTCCAAATAGCATCATTCGTTAGTTTGTCATTCCTGGGTGCTGCTATTACAGAGGAGATGCTAAATCTTACCCAGAGGGAGAAGGACTAGCCCCAGCAACTCCCTCCTGTTGGAGCTGCGCTGGCAAGAGCCCACCGCCCTGCGCCACGGGGAGACCTGATCAGCTCCCCAAGTTTGGTGATGCCACAGCCCCAGAGCATCAGGAGACCCTCCCCTAATTGCTCACCTGGTTTTCAATTGGCAGCATCCATAAGTGAGATCAGCTCAGCTCTCTTTCTCATGCAAAAGATTTTTTTATTATTTATTGGCTTTATGTTTTGTTCCTCCTGTACCAGACCTGCCTTTCTTTCATGGCTGGTACCACTGTGATCACCCACCAGCTGCCTTTGCTGCCTTTAAATCTACTCAGAGTTCAGCTGAAAGCTGGCCATGCAGTCAAAGAACAGGACTGGGGATTAGGAAGCCATCCTTGGCTCTGAATTAGACCCTCTCTAAAGCCATGGCACATCACTTACTCTATCAGCCCCATGCTTCCACCTCTGCAGGCAAGGTGAGAACAAAAACATTCTCCTCCTTCCTCTTTTATATTCAGTTGGAGCACTAAAAGGAAAAGATAAGCCTGATTTCTCTCTGGACAGCAACAAACAGAATGACTTCAGGAGAGACTTTCCTTGTTTACCATAATAATACAGGTAGGTGAAGATAAAGGGCAAACAGAATAACTTAATTTTCTCTGATCAGTACAAGGCAGCTGTGCTCTTGTTTGTTTCCTCCATTCACATGCTGGCACTGGCACAACTCCGGGCATCTGCAGAGCTCTCAGAGCAGAACATATTGATCTGGGGGCTGCAGAATAAACGCCTTGCAGAAAAGGCTTTGCCACAACAGTAGAAGTTCACAGAAGAAACATCAGAGTACATGCCATTTTAAATAAATGTAGGTTTAAGATTTAAACCTTAATCACACACTAGGTTCTTTAAATTAAGGTACAGCATTGCAAAATGTCTCAAGTGGTTCACTTAAGGAGCAGTGTCATGCTCCTGCACCTCAGGGCTTGAAGGGTGCTCCCTGAATACAGCAGGCCAGGGGCATTACTTCTCCTCTGTGGATACAAAACATCCCTATGGATCACAGCTGAGCACCTCAGAGACATACCCTCAGAGACTATGTCTGAGCACCTCTTAGACATACCCTCACCTTCTCTGTTTTTATTCTACAGTGCTAGGCTGATGGAGGGAGAATGGATAGATGAAAGAGCGAATAAATGAATGCAGAGGAAGGCATTTGCCAAAGCACTGGCCCAGGTAGAGCACAGGGATTAGTACTGACAAGAGCTTTGCGTTGTACTGCGAGCCAACAAAACTGCTCCTCACCACCACTGGTGCCCAATTCACATAAATACAGCAAGAGAAATAATAGGAGAGGGACAATGAGTGTGTTAGGCTGCCCTCGCTGTATTTGTGTAACTTTGAAGGTATCTCTGGAACACAGCCTCCCTCTCAAACGAGCCTTCATCAAACATCATTGTTTAAAGCTCGTGAAAACAAAGAATCTCATTGATATTCACAGAGTGGTGGAGAGGATTTTTGTACCTCTTTTTAGTGTTAGCACCTAGGAAATGGCAGGTAATTTACATGTAATTTATCAACAGTGAGCAGAGGTGTTTCTGGTTGGGAAAGGGAGCACACATTGTTCTGCTCCAGCAATTTACTCAATCAATATTGTCAAAGGCTCTGCAGTGCCCAGGAAGGAAGCAGAAGAGACTTGTGGAAGACAGAAGGCTTGAGAAATGCCGCAGCGATATCAGGCCCCCACGCTGGACTTTCCATTGTTGAAGACTGGTTTGCTGCTGATGTTTAAAAGTCATTTAAAGCCATGACTGTGCTTTCATCAGCTGGAATGTGTTTAGCCAAACCATAAAGGAAGACGCATCATCGCGGCTCATATTCCATCTTGCACCATATTGAACTCAGAGACAGGCCACGGGTTCTCAGGGAAGTAAATTAGTCTTCGCTAACACCGTCAGGGATTGGGCTAATGAGGTTAAAGCTAGCTCTTGTGTATCCTGAGGGGCTTATGCTGCTGCATACAGTGAAAAAGTGAACACCATCCATATATTTATAAACTTGGGCACACTTAATATACTTTGAGTGATCAGCATGGTTGTTTTGGGACTCTCTACTGCTGTACTAGAGCTACCTTAGAAGGCCAAACAAGGCAGAGATGGAGTCATGGAGCATTTCTTTTTGCTCGGCTGCCTCCCTGGCCCCTATACCCAACCCTGGACTTTCTTAACCACTGCTCTGTGCAATGTCCCCAGCTCCTCTGGTGCCCTGTGGCTGATGCCCAAGCTTGCCAACATGCCCGATGCCTGCGGGCATCCAACTGCCCACCCTCATCAGACACCAATAATGACCTTGTCATATGGGTAGAGGGATACTAGCATTCCTCCAAAACACCATCAGCTGTTGTAATCTGCACTTTGCTTCCTGCTGCCCGAGTGGAAAATTGCCTTTTTTTTTTTTATCTGAAGAAGGGACGTGTTTCGCATAGTTAGAGATACTGGGAAATCCTGTGTCAGAGAGGGAGGCAAAAAGCAAGGATATAAACCTGCTGCATTTTTTTTTCCTGAAAAGAACACTTGTCCTCTTTAAATCAGGGCCCAGAAGACTACTGGGACAGCAGCTGTGGGGACAGACACGTCCCTGGGGGCAGACATCTGGTATTGAACAGTCTGGATCAATACAGCCTGACCGAAGATAGGAGCAGCTCTGCAATTCCCCCCTGCTGAGTGAGGGCTTTCTGTCTGCCACATTTCTCCCAGCCCAGACCTGCATCCATCACCAAGGGCTCAGCATCTGTCCCCATGTGGCTGACCAATTCCCCAGCACCGGCACGCAGACCAACACCCTCTGAGCTCATCAAGGCTGAACCACCATTTGCAAGCTCCTTCTCTACTTTTTGCCTTCCCCCAACCCCCCCCACCCCATTCTTCTCCATTCTAACTCGGCTTAAAATCCATCTAAATGATCTTTAATCACAGCCCAGCCTGCACCAATGCCTCTTGAGTCCTGCTGGCAAATTGCCCCCAAAACAGGCTCCTTATGCCCCCGGAGCCCCTCTCTTCACTGACATGGCTCTCCCTCATCTCCCACTGCCTCAGCCAACCTCGGGACATGTAAATCCCCTGCCCAGGATGCAGGCAGGGCCCAAAATGCTGATGCCTCTCCCCATTAACAAAGCTGTGCCCCAGGCAATCTGTTTTGTCTGGCTCCATCCTTTCTATTTTCCATTTGCATGTCAGTGTGAGCAGCTCCTCATCTGGTTTGACTTTGGGTTTGGTGACACGTTCATTAATAACTGTCACACGTGTTAGTAGACCCAAGCTTGCACAGACTTCTGGTCTTATCTCAGACTTGATCTGCATATCTGTACATCCGCATCCTGATCTGAAGCTCGCTGTTCTCATCCTGGCCTCTTTTCTTGCATTTCTGAATATAAACACCAGCAGGACTCCAAGCCCAGCTCTGTCCATGCGCTGGTGAGGCTGAGCCCTTGAAAAACCCACCTGTTACACCTCAATGAATTGCCCATGGCTCTGCCCCCACTTCCTCAGCTGTAAGATGGGAAGCTTGAAGCTCACCACTTCACAAAGCACCTCAAGCTCCAAATGAGAAGGATCACCGCAGCAGCAGATAATTATTACATCCATTAAGCAAATTAAATGAGAATTAAGCTCATTCCTGACAAAGGCTGGCCCTGAGGTGAGCAGCACCCTACAATTCTGTTCCCTCAGCAAGCCCCGCTCCTGCCTAACCCCAGCCTTGCTCTTCTTGGTGTCGGGGCAGGGGTGTGTGTACAGCACCAACTGTACATGGCAGGCAGCCCCCAGCCCATGGGGAGGAGGAGGGAAGATTGAATAATCATCCTCTAAGTGGGCTTTTGATGTACGTTCTCATGTCAAGCAGCATGGCAAGCCTGTGAGTTCAGGAGCCCCTGGTGCACTGCAGAGACGTGGGTGCCTTTATATCACCCATTTTGGAAAGCATTTTGGTTGCAGTGCCAGCTTGCTTTCACGGCTGTGCTGCTTTCTCTGAGACCAAGCTCCTTGTCACTTTGAAGATCCCAGCTGTTTGACTGCTTTGAATTCATTTGTTTAATGAACCTCAGGGGACCACTGCACTAAAGCATTCCCAAACATGTTCAGAGCTTTGCAGTTTCTCCGCTAATTAGGGACTCCTTTGGGGCTAAACACAAGAGGTTCTGCTGCTGCGTTTGAAGCCGGCAGTAAGCCAAGACAGAGCTGAATCTCTAACTCCAGCAAAGTATTTTTAATATTTTTCCTCCCCTATTTCTTCTCCCCCAATCAGTGCAGCCAAACTTGCCAGCCACATCCACTGGCAGCTGAGGTCAAGGTGCTCTGAGACAGAGGGAAGCATTTAATCAAAGCAGGAATAAAACTACTAAGTTCTGCCACGCTTTTCTGTACACGTGCACTTTTCCACATTACACAGCCCCTTCTCTTCCACGGGCTCTCTCCTTGGTGCCCATTAACCTACTTATTAGTAAAGGCTGCTGGCAGCCAGCAGATGGGGTCACTTGTTAGTCACTACCCAGGCACCTGCCAGCCTCAGTACTTGCAAGGTCAGAGCATGGCCTGAGCAGCCAGCCTGGCATAGGCAGCACCTTGTACAGCTCACAGTGGCTTAGGGTAGGAAAACAACAGGGAAAAAATCTTATTGAAGTGCCTCAAGGACACAGGATCATCATGGTGAGAGAGATGTCAGATGAAATCCACTCAGAGCAGCTTCTGCTAATGGAAGAGACTCCCCCTTGCTTCCTCTGCGGTGCCTGGTCCCTCACAGCTTGCCTGCCAAGCTGTTAAACGTGCACACCCAGGTTTAAAACTCAGGAGCTGCACTTGCTATAGGGAACCAGGAAGGAAATTGGTATCTTTTGTCATTCATTACAACTTTATTACTCCTCAGAATTGGGCAAAAGAAAGAAAGGTCTGCTCAGCATCAACACCGCAGTGCTCAGGGCACCAGGAGTCCTGCTGAATTAATTGCCAGGCACTTTCATTACTGATTAAATAGGAAATCTCCAAATGCCATTATAAAGCAATGATTAAACTGCTCTGATTGGACATATCCTCTCCCTTCTAGGCTCACCAGAGGTCACCTTCCTGTTGGTAAAGTTCAGAAGGACAAATCCATAACGAGGAGGCAACAGCACTAAATAAGCCATCTCATCAGAGAGCTGGAAACCGCATTTCCAGGATGAAGTTGTAGATGCCTTAACCTGGACCCCTCAGCCCGGCTGGAGCTGACCTGGAGCCAGCAGAACTGCCCACCCTGGACTTCGCTGCTGTAGCAGCAGCACCAGGCACTCTTCCAGCAGCTGCCTCCTGCCTCAGGTACCAGCTTCTGATTCCCCATGTCCCAGCTGCCCCACCTAGTGCTGCCAGGAGAAGTAACGAGGCAGAAAAATTCTCACTTTCTTAATGCCTGTGTCCACTGGGGGCAAATCTAGGGCCCACAGCTGAGCAGTGCTCTCTGCAGCAGGACCTTCCTCGGGCCCAGAACCCCTCGTACAAGCACTGGAGGCTCCTCCCCAGCTTGGCACAGCCCAGCAGGGGCTGCAGGGATGTCTCCATCCCTCCTGTCTCTCCATGGCTGTAACGCCCGCAGCTCTCACCAGAGGTCACTGCTGCCCACCGGCAGCCTCAGCACAGCCCCGAGGTCCCGAGCAGCCTTCTAGGCAGAGCCTCCAGCCTAGGAGCAGCCTTGTGTCACAGATAACACCTCCACAGGTGGGCACCGTGCTCTAAAAGCCACCTCCAGCACGCTCTGGCACTTCCTTACCACCCCTAGAAACTGATATTTCCCAAAGAAAAACGCCAGACAAGCACAGCCTCCAGACCAGCCCTTCCCCTGCATGCACCCCTCTTGGCTGCAGCACCCAGGATGAGGGCAGCAGCACTGCAGCTGCCACAGATGCTCCCCTCCAAGCAAAGTTGGCTGAGACAAAAACAGAGAGCAAGCCAGGTGAGCTCCAGCCCCAGACTGAAGCCCCTAGACCACTATGGCCACATCCTCTCTCACACAAGCCCCCCTTGACTCCTCCCCAGCCCAGCTTTCCCCCCATCTTTTCCACACAAGCACCACTTCCCATTGCTGCAGGGGCAAAAGTAACTCAGCTGTGCCCCAGCCCCACTTATACCCTCTCAGCATCCACAGCTGTGGGGGCAGCACCAGCCCTCTTAACCCTTCCAGCCCCCCACCCAACCTCAGCACCCTTCAGAGCCTGCAGTGAATAGGAAAATGAATTCCCCTCAGCACCCTAGGCACTAGTCCTTGCCAGAAATGTGAATGTGGATGATGTGGGGGCTAGGGGCTGCCCACACAAGCTGTCTGCAGGGTGTCCTCTCTTTCTACACTGCCCAGGATCACAGGGGGCTGAGATTGGAAGGCACCCTTGGGGGTCAGCAAGTCCAGCCCTACTCAAGTAAGGCCACCTAGAGCAGGCCACCCAGGTCCATGTCCACAGCCATGCTGGTGGAAACCTGCTGCCATCTCCTGGGCAGCCCAGCACCCTTCCCATCAGCTGCTTCTCACGGGGGCTGTTGCTCCCTAAAGTCCCAAATCCCCCACTCCAGGGCTTTCCCTGCACCTCCACCAGCTCAGGAGCCTCCAGCAGCTGCAGCACCCAGGCAGGAGCCGTCAGCTTCCTGCAAACAGGGGTGCTGCCTCTGCCTGCCTGATAATGCTTGTGGACAAACACGCTGCCCTGCAAAGGCAAATAAAGCGTGTGGCACGGTAACAGGGCACCAGCTGAGCACCCCCTCTGCTCTTTTGGGATGTGCAGGGCTCAGATCCCACCCAGATTCCCACCCAGATTCCACAAGGCAGTAGTGCATGCACCCCCTGTCTGTCCTTGCACCTGATCTGCAAGGGATGGCACCAAACATCTGCACTGCTCCGGACAAGCTGCTCTCCCTTTCCTATGGACAAGTCTGGGGAAGAAGGGACCATGGTGAAAATGCTAGGAAACCACCCAAACGCTGAGTGCAGCTGTGGCACTGGGACAGGCAGCTGGGCTTTCCTCCCCAAAGGGCTCAGCAGATGTAAAAGGGGACATGAGAGACTATGGTCCAGGGAGGGCTGCAGGTGACAGCAGAGATCTCCTCTGCCCTTGGAGGAAGTGAGTGAACCCGGGCTCTGTATTGTAGGCATTTGGGTCCCAGAAAGACATGCTCCTGGCTGCAGTTTCTCCTGGCTCCTGGGAGCACAGCTCGTTTGGTAACCAAACTGCTTGGGCTGCCACAATGCAAAACAAGAGGTTTGCGGAGCCCTCTGTGAGCCTGGCAGGAGCACGCTTGCACTTGAGCTGTCCTTTCACTCCACTCCTTTCACTACAGGAGAAAACAGTGCACATTTCCATGAGGAGCTGATAAGGCTGTTACTGGAATGACCCGTCCACATGCAGCCCTTCAGCAGCAGGTCCTGCCTTCCCATGGGGTGGGATGTCTGCATCCCCCTGCCTCCCCCTGCCATGCCCCCTGCCTCGGGGGGTCGAAGGCAGGAGCAGGAGGACCCCAGGGAGGTGGCCAGCCTGGCAGAAGGCCAGTGTGATGGGAAACAGCACCAATAAAAGCCACCAGAGGAGGAGACAAAGGGCCTGAAGTTGACTTGTGGAAGTACAAAGAAGCAATGCAGGACAGGCAGGAAAATCCCCCTGTTTAAACGGCTCTGTATAGGGAAGTGCCCTTTTGCAATGTGTCCTTCAAACCAGATTCCTCCCTTGCAAACTGCCAGAACAAACCCGCCCTCCCTCTCCCTGCAGCCCTTTTGATGTAGATAACAAGGAGGTTTTCAGGACTTTATCCCCAGGGACAGATGTGGAGAACAATC